AAACTATTATTGATATTATTCTCATATGTTAAACATGATAGAATGAGCCCTATATATATACACATAACATTTCCTACTCCTAATACATATGGGATTAGGGTAATTTACTACTATTTACATAACTATTCTAACACTCCCCCTCAAGCTGGTGCATATAAATCATATGNNTAGGCCCGCGAAGCCCACGAGCCCGGCCCGTTAAGCACAGGACCATGTGGGCTTAGGCCCGTCACGGGCCGGTTCCACCCATTAGGCCCACGAAGACCGGGACCGCCAGGCCCGGGACCGCCAGAGCCCGGGACCACGAAGCCCGGGACCGCGAGGCCCGGCCCGTTAGGCCCACTAAGGCCCGGGCCCGGGACAAAATACAGCCCTACCTAGGGACCCTTCTAGACTCTTCTTTGGAATAAAAACAAACAAAAAAGACCCTAAGGACCTAATACACAAAAGACCTAGGGACTAATAGGCAAAATATACCTAAACCTAGACTCTACCTATAAAGTAATGCTGAAAAGGACTGGAAAAAACTGCGCAGCCTTTCACAAGAGCCCCACCCCTCGTCATCGTCTTCTTCGACCTCCCCCCCCACTGGTCTTCGTCTTCCTCATGTTAGGTTGAAGCAGCAACCTAACGCCTAGAAGAAACCCAACCCATCGTTCACCTTCTTCTTCTGAAAAAACCAGTGAACCAAAAACTCCCTTGAACAAAATTTCAGCCGATAAACACACACGAAACACACACTCGACCCCTCATCTCTTCAACGACCAACAGTAGAAAATTCCATTCCCTCTACTGTTTCCTTCTCGCCACAATTCCAGGATTTAGGAGCTTCCATTTTCAGAGAAACTAAAGCAAAGTAGGTGAAATAAGTTCTCTTAATCCATGAGTTCGTTGAGGTTGCTGGTGTGGTCTCCGTCTTGTATCGATTTTTGGCTTCAATTTGGTCGATAACTTGCATTCGCAATTCGTTTGTGGTTGATTCGGTTTAATTGAAAGCTTTGTTCGCAAAGGTCCATTCCTTGCTCCTTTTAACTTAATATTGTGTATGAGGTCTTGTTTACATAATCTGTGATTTTACTCCTCGTTGAAACTCCTTGTTCACGATGTGCTTTGCTATGAATTGTTTGATTTTGGCTCAAGACCGTCACTGAAATGGGTTTTGGAATTACGCTTTGTTAATCTTTCACTTGAAGTTGAGTGATCAAAAATGCTAGTGAAATGTTAGCTTCTAAAATCATCAAGAAAACATTAAGATGGAACTATATTCTGTTAGCAAGTCGATCATTTTCTATGGCGACGAGCGAAGCTGACAAATTTTTTGCCTCTAATCAATATGAGAAGCTAACATGAAGACAATTTTCTATTTGGTTTGTGAAAATAAGAATAGGCCATGGATTTGTTCTTGAAACATTAGTATGGGTTCAATCTAATAAATACAATGTGGCCTATTTTCCGTAATAGATCTCTGTTTAAGTCACATTTTAGTGTTTATTATCAATTAATCTCAGGCTTTAGAAGTCTAGTAATTTATTTAGTTGTAAATTGTTTTAAGATAGATATTTTGTTAATATTTCAAATAGCACTTCCAAGAACTTCTTATCCTTAATTTGGATCTTCAATAATCTCAAAGCTTAGGAAGAATCATGAACACCGTAGTGTGCCTCTGGCGCATTATAATAATTATCATGGCTACGGGTATGGTTCCCGTGACGTAGTTGTGATGCTTGATTCCTAAATTCAGGTGCGCATTTATGTGACCCAAATCCAAATCTCAACAACGTTAGATAAAATGTGTCGTGGACCGCGGGTGCATTTATGTGACGTGGTTCAAGACATGTTTTTAATAATGTTGAAATCCTCCTAAAATAAAACAATTAAATTAAAGCGGGTATAAAATTAAAAATTGCACCATAGGCTAAGCATGTATTAAAATCAAGTAAATAAGCCAATTATAACAGTTGAGCGACCGTGCTAGAACCACAGAACTCGGGAATGCCTAACACCTTCTCCCGGGTTAACAGAATTCCTTACCCAGATTTCTGTGTTCGCGGACTGTAATACAGTGTCAATCTTCTCCTCGACTCGGGATTTTGAACAGGTGACTTGGGACACCATAAAATTATCCCAAGTGGCGACTCTAAATTTTAAATAATAAATAAATCCCGTTTCGATTATCACTTTAAGTTGGAAAAAACTCCCTTTATACCCTTTCCACGGGTGTAGATAAAAAGGAGGTGTGACACTTTCCCTCTTAAGTTTATTCTTATTGTTAAATATAGTAGGCTACTGGAAATAAAGGTCATGATTCATAACCAACCTCCCAACATCAAATATTGTGGTCAAGTTAAGCAATTTGGAGGCAGCATTTACTCAGTTATAACTATGTAATTAGTTGTATGTCTTACATTTTGTCTATTTCTCAGAACTCATAAGTTATCTTAGACTTTTTTTATAGTGGTGATGTCCGAGCCAGCTCGATCATACCTTGACTATTCTGTAGGGTACTTGCTATCTCTAGTGGGTAACTCTGCCACCAATGCAAGCAGATGGAACGAAATCATCAAGCATTCTTTGAACCCTGGTCTACCATGGTTTTCGTCCGACTTCATCGACCACTAGAACATACTTTTGTGTGCTTATAGTTATATTTGACTTGACTATAATCTATACTATTTGTTTTAATAACAATGGAGTTTGGACTAACTTGCGAACACCTCGACTACAATCTATGCAAATTATAAAGGATTACCAATAGTGTTTTGGTGTAACTCAATTGGTCAATCATAGAGCCTCTAATAAATTTTCTTTTAAACAATGCAATTTAAGGGACCTTTTACAGAAGTACAGAACAGTGGTTATATCCTTCTAATTCCAGTTTCCAACTTTATCCCTACTTATATTTTTGTTATGTCAAATGCATTTTTTCGACTCATCAAAGTTAAACCACACATCATTAATGCGCCTAACCCCAGTGAGTGCTTAGCAAGCCGATTATTAATCACTTAAATGAATTACTTCTCACAGTTGTGACTTGATTTTTAAAAAAAATGATAAGGTTGTGACTTCAAAAAACAAGATCAGAGGATTGTAAGTTCACCAACAACCTCCAGATCTGCATTTAGTTTCATTTGAAAAACCAACACACATATCACATTNCAAATGTTTATGTAGAAACCCTCAAATTTAACCATTCTGCTGTCCTGAAAATATCAAAAAGTGAATCTCCTCTTCATAATGAACTAAAAACTTTCCAAGCAAGAATTGATGATTTTTAAATTTATGGCATATCAAAAGGAAGTTATATCAAAAAAGTTTTGAGCCTCTTCAACCTAAACCTGATCAGCTACTATCTTGCAAGACCCATATAGATACACCTTCTCTAACTCACCAAAATCAAAATCATTCCACCATACAAAGGGGCACAAACCTTGTGCTTTTACTGTCACTTTAATTAAATGTTCTAGTTCTATAAACCAAGCGCTACCATTTTGCTACAAATCGTAGATACAGATCTAAAAGGAAATCGCTAGTTCCAGAGGAGATGCTGGACAAGAAACAATTCTTTCCATCTCTAAGAATCTCCACTTCACTGTGCAATAGAAACTAGTATTATGATTTCCTTGGAGTTACTGATCTGGAAGACCAAAGACCTCTAAAAGCTGTGGCAGCGCATCATAAGTAGGTTGCAGTCTTGATGTTTCCTTAGCATTCACAAGTAACAAATGAACTTGCAAAAATACTATGGAGAACCACGCAACTCACAGGTGAAGCTTCAACATTCACCATATTCTCTCTTTACTAAAATGCATAACCTTAAAAGATTCAAGTAAAAGCCATTTAAAGTTATTGTTCTTCTTTTTTAAAAAAAAAAAAAAAATTGTGGTTCCCTTAACGTCCACATACAACATATTAAATTTCATATGTATTAAGGAGAACGTCACTCTAGCTTCATATAACTAAGCCACATGAGTTGCAGGTGAGTTGCAGGACAACCATGCAGCTCATAGTTGTTCTCTCAATGTTGCAGGTGAGTTGAAGGATGAAACCTCCTCACACGCTAAATTTTCCCTCTTCACTAATATGTAAAACTTCAAAAAAAAAAAAAACAGATGCATACTATCTAAAGTTGTTCTCTCAATGTTGCAGGTGAGTTGAAGGATGAAACCTCCTCACACGCTAAATTTTCCCTCTTCACTAATATGTAAAACTTCAAAAAAAAAAAAAACAGATGCATACTATCTAAAGTTGTTCTCTCAATGTTCACGCACAACAAAAGAAGCTGCATATGTATTAAGGAGAACGTCATTCAAGGTTCATTTCGCAACATCACATGAGCAGAAGGATAACGATGCAACTCTTAAGATGAAGCTCATCTCTCCATTTTCCAACTTGACTAAAATGAATAACCTCGAGAGATCCAAATTGATGCTTATCATTAAAAAGTTAGCCATATTCTCATTCGCTCCAAACACACAAGAAGGCTATTATCCCAAGATCACCCATCTATCCACCTCTTTCATTTTAAACAATGCCCAATATTAGAAAGGAATACTTAAGGAATTAACTAATAAGTTTGGTTCCATACTTAAGGAATCAACTACTAACTTTGGCTCCCAAAGATTTTTGACATAGAATATGTTTCGACATGAAATATTAATACTAAATAAAGTGGCCATTGACAATCAATCCTATAAGGGGGAAGATGGATATAGGAGGGAAAAAAAGGGGGGGGGGGGGGGGGTTACGTTATACAACTTGCACCTCATAGTTCAAAAGACCTATGATCAAGAGAAGTTTAGTTCAGGCTCATCTAGTTGTCACACTCTTCTTTCAGGATACGGGTAGTCTCGGAGCTAGATTACGTGCTTCTTGACTATTCTACCGAGTACATGCATCCTCTAGCCAGCACAAGTACGTTAACACTTATTTCCTCTATTTTTTTGCTTTCCGGATATGAAAGTGCGGAGTAGGTACCAGCACAACAACAAAGGTCCTAATTATGCGATTGAAGATATCATTTATGTTTTGTATTTCTTCAGAAACAATAATGTGAAGCACGAACCTTATCGAGTACATTAAGTGTTGATTTCACACAAACTGGTATACATAACCCACGCAAACAACATGAATAATAAGCTTAAACAAAATATTGGAACAAACTCTGCAAGTATAAAACTTTCAGGGGGGTTTTCATCAAATGCTAAAAGATAGAAGGACTCACATGCAAAAATCACTTGGCAACCATCCTAGCAATGAAATCCTCATACCGGATCTTCCCATCGGATCCAACATCAACTTCTCGGATCCACTCATCAAATTCCGCAGGTTCAAGCTTCTCCCCGATACTAGTTAAAATATGCTTTAGATCCGAAACGACGACGAAACCAGTGCCGTCTTTATCAAGGACCTTGAACGCGTCGCGCAATTGGCGATCAAATGGCTCCGGTTTGAGGTGTTTTGACATGAGATCTAAAAATCGGTTGAAATCGAACGGCGCGGTGAGTTTTTCCTCGGCGATTATTGATTTGAGTTGGGCTTGGGTCGGGTTACCACCGAGTGATCTCATTAGGATCCCTAGCTCCGATGGAGCGATTTTGCCGTCGCCGTCGGTGTCAAAGAGAGTGAATGCCTCCTTCATGGAGGATATTTGATCGTTGCTCAGATCTTTCACCATGGCTAGTTGCCTTCTCTCTCTTTCTCTTTGCTTTTCTCCTATGTTTCTCTTTCTCTGTGGATTTTGACGAAATGGGGATTCAAATTTGAGGGGCGTTTCACTTATTTTTGAAAGCTCATATGCATGTTGGTACGGTGTATTGGGGAAAATAATAATATATGTATTAGCTTGGTATTATTAATTCCTATTTGATATATTATTTTTCAATCTATGTATAACCAGTTTAGTTATATATTAGTTATACAACCTAAATATCAGTAATCCTATACATAGTAAATTATAATATTAGCAATACCATGATTTTTAATACATAAATAAGCATGTATAAAGACATAACTGTCATTTCAAAACTTTTCTCATATTCTTTCTAATATTTTTGGAGGGTATTTTGTAAATAAATAGTTTTGAAAAAAATATGTTATGCATATTATTTTTAATACACCAAATTAAACAATCGTTAAGAAATAATCTCAGCATAACTAAATTTAGTATTAATAATACACCATATTCAATACTATTTTTATACACCCTATCAAATGATCCCTAAATAGTTATTTTAACTAAGAATTTTGAACAAGTTTAAATTATGAAAATGTTATCTCGTGCTTCACATTATTGATTTGTGTAAACTCAAATCTAAACTGGATGAATTTAAAAGAAAAAACTTGGATGCGTAAAAGTATGTTTATTTTGCCGAACATCTAGCTTGTTTTGCTAACTTGGCTGCAGACATAGAAAAACTTATAGAGGAGTTGGGTGCTACAGTGAAAGAACGTTAGGGTCAAAGGTAATTTTACACATTTTGTTAACGGTAGGCTGGATCTGGATGAAAAGTATACCGGGAAAAATCTAACCATGTTCCAAAATATTACTATACTCCACTTGAAGGAAATTAGCAGTGGCATGAATTTGGAGCGAGGGATGTGTAGGCATGTAAATTTTATTGGAATTAAACCCGTAAAATATTTTGACTATATGTTAAATTCAAGTTATATTAGTTCAAATAAAGTTATTGGGCTAATATAGTTGGATTAATTATAATGCCAATATATATAGATTAAATAAAGGTCTTAATCCATTGGGCTAACCTATTTAATTGGACTGCAAGTGATGAACCACTTTATTAAGCCCGAGATGACATCTTCCTAGAGGCCTAGTTTGGTGTCACGTGTCAAATGATGTGGCACGCCAAGTCAAACAGAAGAGCCAATATGATCATGCCACGTGTCAAAATGACAAGGCATGCCAAGTCAAATTAAAAGTCCAATGAAATCGCACCACATATGCAAGTGACATGTTCTGGCCAATCAAAAGCGGCATTATCACACTTCAATTTGATTGGTCGGAAAGACTTTGTTCTTATCATAATTCTTCCCTCCCACAACTATAAATAGGGGTCTTCATAACCTAGAAAAGACACCAGAAGTTATAACAAGAAGCAAGAGAGAGTTCGTGGATCAAACGCCGCAAATTTCTCTACAAGTTTCAAGCTTCAAGCAATCAAGTTCAAGTTCAAGAAATCAAGTTCAAGCTCAAGAACGAAGAACAAGTCAAGATTCAAGGAGTACGAGTTCAAATCAAAGTTCGTGCTAGTTGAATTCAAGATCATCATTCGTGACAACAAATATAGGTTCAAGATCAAGCTCAAAGGCCCTGGAATTTATATTGGAAAAGTAGAATCAGAGGAACCATAGAGATTGTAAACTTTACTACGATTGTTGTAATATTTTTCGGTCTTGATTTTATTTTCTTGACGCAATTTTTTGTCTACAAATTCTGGCATGCCCAGCGGGACCAATTCTGCCCTTCATCTCTACCTCTCATCTCAATTTCTCAATCACCAAAGTCCAAGAACGTCGAAATGGCTTCAAAGAAAATCAACTCCAGTTCAACTTTCACCAAGGCTGTTAATTCCAAGTTCTATGCTGATGTGGAAAACATCCTCGATGTTACCTTTGAAAGCTTTGGACCAGTTACGAGGAGCAAAGCAAGCTCGTTAGGACAACAAGCACCCCAAGTGTCGTCCGCATAAACCCCTATTTTCAGATCTTCATCTTCAAAATGAGCAAGATCTTCCACAAACGCACCTAAAGGAGGAAGCAATGTTGTTGAAAAGATCAAGAAAACTCTTATTCTACTTGACCTCTCCGGATCCAAGTGCTCTGCTGTGAAGAAAGATGATGATGCTTCAAGTGATGGATCCTCCCTCGCTTACACCATGCGTGAGCCATTCGAATCAATATGTATGACAATCCATGCTACTCCCCATCATCTACAACAATCATGTAAGCCATGGTGAAAAACACTTCATCTGTGGAAGAGCAGTTGGCAAACTTGACGGAAGCAATCACTGGCTTGACCAAGTGCATGCAAAATCAAGATGTTAGAATTGACAAGCTAACAGTCAATGTGGGAATCTTAATTGAAGAAAAATCCACCCATGCACCTGGCAAGCTCCTAGAAGTTCCAGAGATTGATTCTCCCCCAAGACGAGTAGCATCCGCGAAGGCTATCCATGTCTCATCTGAAGGGATGATTCCCATCGATCAACTGAAGGAGTTCATTGAAGGAACTATTAAGAACAAGTATGAAGTTGCTGCCAAGTCCTCCCTTACATACGCAAAGCCGTACACTACAAGGATTGATATGTTGAAGATGCCTGCTGGTTATCAACCTCCAAAGTTTCAATAATTTGATGGTAAATGCAATCCAAAGCAACATGTGGCGCACTTCGTTGAGACATGCAACGACATTGGGACTTATGGAGATTACCTCGTCAAGCAGTTTGTCTGCTCGCTAAAAGGAAATGCTTTTGATTGGTATAAAGACCTCGAGGCGGGATTTATTGATAGCTGGGATCAACTAGAGCAAGATTTTATAGCTTTTATAGCACATAGCACATTGTGAGCATGGTGGAACTCACAAATACTCGTCAACGGAAGGGTGAACCAGCTATCGACTTTATCAATCGTTGGAGGAATATAAGCCTCAACTGTAAAGACAAGCTTAGTAAAGCTTCTAGCATAGAGATGTGCATCCAAGGCATGCATTGGAGATTGCGCTACATCTTGCAAGGTATCAAGCCTAGCACATTTGAAGAACTTGCAACTCATACCCATGACATGGAATTGAGCATGTCCTCTGCTGGAAATGAAAGGTGCCCATCTATGGACCTCGTAAAGGGAACGACAAGTAAGAAGTCAGGAAGTGGGGCAAGTTCGTACCCAAGTCTGAAAGCAAAGAAGCCATGAATGTCAACACATCACCTGTGAAGTTTACGACGAAGGTGAGCAAGAAGCAGAGTATGAAATGCACTTCTTTTCAAGATAAGCCAAGTGGAAAGTTGACTCTAAAAGAAATGCGAGAGAAACAGTACCCATTTTTGGATTATGATGTGCCAACCATTTTTGAAAACTCCTCGAGTTAAATCTCATTGAGCTTCCGGAGATGAAGCGGCCAAATGAAGCTGGGAAAACTAGTGATCCAAATTACTACAAATATCATCGACTTGTGAGGCACCCTCCGGAGAAGTGCTTTGTCTTCAAGGACAAAGTTATGGACTTGGCTCGTGAAAAGAAGATCGTGCTTGAAGATGAGAAAGCAAGCACAAACCAAGTCTCTATCATATTTGGCTCATTCAATCCAGATGAATTATGTAGTTTTAAAAAACGTAAAGACGAAGAAATATTGGAGAACAACAAAATTGAAGACGATCAACCTGATGATGATGAAGGTTGGACATTGGTGACTCGTCGTAGGCGCCATAAAGGGAGCCCACGAAAAGGATCAATGGAACAACCAACAAGGAAAATGATGGTAAAAAGACCGAGGAGATGAAATCTAGTAAAGCATTTAAAGAAAGCAAAAGTGGAGGTGCACCACCCTCAAAATCCACGACATCCAGTGACTTTGGAGGAGTTTTTACCAAGTTGGTTCCGCACGAAGATTTCCCATGGTGGTATTGATCCTCTTGTTGCCATGCTGACAAAGGAGAAGAAAAGAGTGATGACCTACCATTGGCACCATCTTCGGTAAAGCTCATTGAGTCCACTTCTCAAGAAGTTAATTCTTGTGAGGAAAAAGTTATGTCCACGAATGACGATCTTCTACTGGGTAACACTCTTCACAACCGCCTATTATACCTAGTTGACTATATGTGTGATGAAAGAGTAAATCAAATTTTGGTTGACGGAGGATCCTCAGTGAACGTCTTGCTAGTTCACACTGTGAAAGAACTCGACATTCCCATAAACAAACTCTCGAAAAGTCGTGTGATGATTCAAGGATTCAACCAAGGGAGGCAAAGAGCCACATGCACAATTAGGTTGGGAATCACCATTGTAGATATGCAATCAAGTGTAAGGTTACATGTGATTGATGCAAAGACTTCATCAACGTCTTGCTTAGAAGGCCTTGGATACATGAGAATAAAGTAGTTCCATATACCTACCATCAATGTTTTAAATACTTTAAAGGTGAAGTCGAGAAGAAGATAGTTGCTAATGATGACCATTCACTGAGGTTGAGTCACACTTCGCCGATGCAAAGTTCTACTTGAAGAACCGCATTGTGAAGGAGCTAAAAGCTGATGATGTCATGAAAATCAAGAATGACGAGCCCACAACTAAAAGAGCTGAGGTGACTGCTGGTAGAGTCAAAGCTGTTACTAAGAAGGTACAACCTAACTCGAATAAATGTTATAGAGGGGATACTTCATCTTATGGCAAGACTGTAACTCATGCCCTCCAATATGTCCCTAAAAGGAAAAGGAAGAAAGATAAAGGCGAGTCATCTAATCTCCAAATTAACATGCTAAAGGAGTTAACTCTTCCGTAAAACGAATTGAGGCAATAAAGTTGTCCTTAAAGCCACTTGCAGGGTTTGTGGCCTAAAATCATTTGCAGAATGTGGCACTCCCTATAAAGTGAACAGATGAAGTTTTGTTCCTAACGCTTACAAGATATTTGCAAAAGCTGGATACAATCCCAATTAGTCGTCAAATTTAGGGAAGCTCCTATTAGAAGTTGCGATGAGGTAACCACGTGAAGATTTGGGATACAAGCAACCCTCACCAGTGTACATCTCCATAAAAAGAGCGAGCAACAATTATATCACTGTAGAA